ATATCAAAAAATCCTTCCTTCCTTGGGTGCCTACGTCACAAAAGGAACCCATTGTCCACATTTCGTGTTTTTAGCTTCAGTAGTTTGGGATCTGCGATGATGAATCAGTCAGTCATTTTTTTTTTTTAATCTACAGATTACACTGTGTGAATTACTATTATTTATGTTTTCGTTATCATTTTATACACATGGTAACTTTTTTTAAACATAGTACGTAATAATATAATACTCAGCGCGGATTACTACTAATGCCATTTTTGCTATCTTTAAATAACTCTGGGTATAACTATTTATCCTTTAATGTATACAGCATGCTTTATTTTAGAAAAAAATAACGCGATCCAAATGTAAATAGATTTTCGGTAGACATTTTGACTGTTCATTTCATAGTCATTTTATAAGAATTCTAAATTAGCATCGTATAAATATATCAATAAAAATATAATTCTGTAGAATTTTTATAAAAGCAATAGAGTTTGTTAGTCTACGAAAAACTTTTTTAACATTAAACGCTGTTTTTCGAAGCTCTGTCGCCAAGGAAAATAAAAAAAGTCATAGTTTAAGGGCCTTACACTTGAAGCAATGCGATGATTTTAAGCTATATGTATAATCTTGCCGTGAAGAAATATCTGGGCTTTAGAACAGACAAATAACTTAAATATTTTAAAAGTTATTAAACTTTTTTAAACATCGCCAATTTGGCGACTTTTTTCCACCAAAACAAAAATTACAAAATCACTCTTTATTCTTAGTTTTTTCAAACTTTTATGAGCCCAAGTAGAGAAGCATTTAAGTAAGTTTTTAAATATTAAAAAATTAGACCTCAAACGCTTTTTATTTTCACAAAGCTGTGGGTTTTTCTCTGTAGTGACGATTTCCGCCATTTTCAAAACAAGCGTAGACAGCGCTGACTTTAGTTAGACTAAACTTAACCTAACAGTCAGGAGTAACAGTTGCAAACTCAAGCAATTATAAAAATAGCATATTATTCGCAAAAAAGAATAATTTCACATTACGACGGAGCCTTCGACAAACGACCTTAAATACTAGTTTAAAAGAGTGCTTTTCTTTTTCATTTACTGACAGAAGAGGTCAAATAAAGAGAACACAAGATAGGATGTAGTTGTACATTTATTGGCAAATACTTTACATTTATAATTTTAGTGTACAATAACAATGCAAAAATCCAAAAAATGGAATAGCATTGTAAATATCTACAACAAAAAACACTTCTCATATACAAACATGTTAAAATAAATTCCACATGGGAATTCACTTAATACGAACTACATTTATTTCATTTCCACAGGTTATTTCTTCAATTATCGATAATAAAAACACTTTTTCTAATATTTAGTTGTTGTTTTTTTGTTTACAAAATATTTTTATCATGAGAAAAAAAAAGATTTTTAATTTTGATATTAGAATGATCAAAAGTGTAACTTTTCAAACAATAATCAACGCCATAAATTAAAGGGTAATAGGAAATTTTCGTTTAAAATAGGTTTTAAAATTTTTTTCAGTTTTTAAAATTCGAAAGATAGAAATATAAATTTTTAAATCATTACCATATTAGTCACGAATATCATGCCTCTCTGTGTATAAGTATTAATGTTACTGCTTTGTGACTACTTTTTCACCTTTTATCAGTATTTAAAGTAGTACTTTGAAATTATATTGGTAAGGGTCACTTTCCTTGTTTTCTTATAATAAAAATTTTCAAACCAAGAGTCTAGTGCCTCGCAAAGTCGCAAAGAAAGGACAAAATGTTTGATTAATTAGTTTGATGAACTGGCTCTGTTAGAAATTACACATTCGTGACTACCATAATGTATCAATAATTAATTGAACTACTGAACATAGAAATAATTTAATTAAATGCAAAATTTAGGGCTTTAAACTAAAGTGTAACTTAAATTCGAAAAAAAAAAGTCTCATCAGAGTTAAGCATACATTTTTTGTAATTAAATCTTTTAGAATTTTCAAAAAATGTAAAATTTTTGGCAAAGTCTTGTCAAAATTTTAAAAAGGATACTATATTTCTTTCTTGGTACTTTTTTTTTTTTTTTTTT